GGTATTACATTGAGTATAATAGTTATTATCATGTCAAAGGTATGTATAAGAGTTTTAAGCTTAGGGTGGAGGCCAAGGCCTTAATATGCCATCCTAAAGTTAAGTAAAGTAATAATCTCGCCCAGTCGAAACTGGGTTCTGTGGAAGGCGACCCCAGAATGTGATCACGTGAGAACCGGGCCAGGTTACCGGTAGTTGCAAAGTTAAAGTTAAAGTTAAAGTTCAAGTTAATATTCAAGTTCCAGTTACAGTTCAAGTTTAAGTTCAAGCTAAAGTATTATTATTGTTTACTTTGGTATGGGTTTTTACGGAGTACAATAAGTTAGTACTCACGCCCCACTATTATCATTTTCAGGTAAAAGGGTCGGTGCAGAGGTGTGAGAGCAGCTATGGTGGTGTGGATCGAGAATTCTATTTTATTATGGATTTTTAATAAGTTTTCGGTTTGTATTATACCATGCTTATAAGATTTCCGCTACGTCTTTTAGATATTGAACATATATGATAGTATTTTTCGAATTTAAAAGATTTATCAAGTTAAGTTTCCATATATGATTGATAAGTAAAATCTGTTTTATTATATCTAGCTAGTTGTTAGACCAAGGTTTGAGAAGACAGATTTTAAAGAAGATAAGTTTAGTAGCATTCCGAATTAAGTTAAGAAGATTTTGAAAAATTTATAAGTACTTTCAAAATAAGAAGATGCGAAAAATTGACTCTGATGAGCGGGGTGTTACAGTTAACTTGAGTTGTGATTTTGTACAATAGTAAATTAAATCAGGCACATAAACTATAATAATTTAACTATTTTTGCATGCTGTATGACAATATTGTAAAAAACTGTTGACTTGGAAATTCAATTCAAAACAAAAGTTCATAGAAATATAAAACAACTATATATTCTACTGTGTAATAAATAGAATGTCATGAGTCGAGTAATAATTCGAGATTGTCGATCATAGTAATACCTGGTGACGTGTTTTTCTTATATGGGCTTTGTCTTTGCTTGATGTTTCGATTTGTCGATCCACTTCGTTTCCTACCGTTGTTTGTTTCCACTATCTCAATAAAATTAATATAAGAAAATAATCTTATATAGGTTTTCATCATATAAAAAAAATTAAAAAAA